TATTGCATTTAAATGTATAAAGTTAAAAGTTTTACACAGATTAAAGTGCAAAAGAACTATAAAGACCAATAGGTATCACTTTACAATAAGACCTCATTAGTTAACCTTCGTTAATGCATTAACATTCACAATGAGGTCTTATTGTAAAGTGATCCCTATTGGTCTTTATAGTTCTTTTGCACTTTAATCTGTGTAAAACTTTTAACTTTATAAATTTTTCTGTATTGCTTTATTGCATTTAAATGTTCAGTTATTTTTGTTATAAGAAAAATGTTATTAAACCTGTTATACTGTGTTATGACAGCACTTTTTTTTCAACTAAATTTCAACATCGTGATGATACCGTATACCGTGATAAAAGCATTAGCAATTAATCGCAACATGAGAATTTGATACCGGCATATCCCATGGCAATTTGTTTATAGATAACAGATACTTTTCATTGATTTTAGTTAAGCTTTTAATGCTCTTCAGTCATATTTGTTGTTGGATAAGTTAAAGAAGATAGGTGTAAACCTGTTCATTATTAATTGGTACTTTTCTTTTTTTAACTAATAGAGTACAACATGCAATAGGGCATTATCTCCACTTGGTCATACTTTATCCCTCCAGTGAATTCTTTGCATGGACAGGGCTTTTGAACATTTGTAACGTAATGATTGTGTAATGCTTTGTACCCCTGCATCAGGTTAATATTCATCCAAGCGCATACGTGGCTTTCACCTCTCTGATCTTAATCAGAGTATTGTCTGGAAGGTTGGACCTCTCATATGACGTCTTCTTGTTAAAAATATCAAGACAATTTTTAAAGTCCTTGTATATCACTTGCCTGTAATTTCAAAACCTCAAGGACTGCATTTAATGGTTTTATTGTTGAGATCCTCATGTCAATCCCTTCAAACAAGGGGAAGTCTGAGGACAAGGAATAAGGTGGTTCTCAATTCTGGTCCTGGTGCCCCACTGCTCTGCACATTTTCTATGTCTTTCTGATTAAGATCAGAACTCTTGTTAGAAGAAAACTCCATGAACTAAACTGGGGTGCGTTTCTTAAAAGCATTGTTAGCCTAGTATAGTCACAAGTTTCATCGTTGCCAACATAGTTCAATGATTTGCTGTTTCCTGAAACCATAGTTCAAACGAACATTCCCCAAAAATTTTTTGCGATAGCATTTCTAAAAGGAGATGTTTTGCAGAATGCTGTTGTTGTTATTGTCCATACACAGTACTAGTACTAGTAGTCCATACTCTGATTACCAGCTCTGATTGAAAGTCTTCTGAAGGCAAAAATAGCTATTTGTGAGGTCCATATTTAATTGATTTCTTGCAGAAAACCTTCTCCTCCACTATGCCCTGTCAAATTATGATATGATGAAACTTCATTTGCCCTCATTTTGCATCATCACTTTAGAACTTCATCACTTCAGTAGAACAGAATGTACGTGTAAAATAATAATAAAGGGCCCATCAGTTGTTAATGTGATATTATATGTGCATACCCTCCCTGCATATCCATGCGCTGCACCACTGGCTTTTGTGTACAACAGGGGTGCCCAATCCTGTTCCTGAAGATGTACTAACCTGCAGAGTTCCGTTCCAACCCTGATCTAACACATCTGTCTGTAATCATCAAGTGCTTCTAAAGTTCTTAAATAGCTGGTTTGGTTGTGATCAGGGTTGGAGCTGAACTTTACAGGAAGGTAGATCTCCAAGAACAGGATTGGCCACCCCTGGTGTACAACATGCAAGCAAGTTGCTTGGTTCATATTTCATCCTCTCTTTCCTCTTTTTTTGCAGTTCTGTCCTCACATCCATGGTGGCGAACCTATCTGATGGAAAGGAAGGCTGTCAAACAGCTCAACATGGTCTCCAGGTTGCCCAAGTTTGCTTCCTGTCCCTCAGGCATCACCATGACCGCCTTTCCCCAAGGATCTGCCCCAGAGTCCAAAGGTGGACCTCTAGTCAGGCACAATAATTTGACACGTCTACAATCCCTAAATTGGAGAAAGGGTGAAGAGGACATTGGTAATAAAGTTCAACACTCTGACAGCTTGGATGAGGAGACTAGTGTAACACCAGTGATGGTGACTAAAAAGCCTTCCCCTGCAGCTGCAGTAAAATGTAAAAGTGCAGTCCCCACTTCACAAAGTAGTTGCCCCAGGAGCATACCCCAGCCTAGCAAAACCTTTCCCTGCATGACTACTCCGAAATGCCTCTTAACAGGGAATCCCCTGAATAATGACATGGCTTCTCAGAATGGAGTAAGTGTTGGTAATGGGCAATGTGGCTCCTCAGGGCCAGGTGTTGGTCATGTATCCCAACAAAGAACCCTGCAGAGCAAACTATCCCTGTCCAACGACAGCATCAAGTCTGACTCTAAAGACAGCATAGTTCGCTCTCAGAGTTTCACCCACTCCAAGAGGGCAACATGCCCCACCAACCCACCTATTACCCGTTCCTTCTCCTTTAACAAAGCTACAGAGCTTGCTAAAGAACTTCCCAGACCATTGGCACAGTCTCCAGTAGCGAAATCATCCCTCATACAGCCAAATACAGTATTATCCGAAGAGAAAGTAAATAAATACGGAATTCCAAGGCCTGCTGTAACTACTAGCACTCATCTTTTGCAAACGAACACAATAAAGAAATCCCTTTTACCCAGCTTTTCAGGTAAAAAACCTTCTGTGCTCAGTTATAGACTTACACGTCCAACACTAACCAAACATCCCCGCCCTGTTCTCCTTGGAATTGTCCAAAAAGACGCAGAATTGAGTAAAAATGTCCAAGACACTACAAAGATAGCAGAAACCAGTTCAGAACCAAGCAGCAACATTGAAAGTATTGAAACTTCCCCAACTGAGACTTATTTTAAAGCAAAGGAGGCTGAGGGGAGTCTGGGCCCCTCCTTGGAGGATATGTCACTATCATCGTCCTCCTCTGTGGAGCACAATGACACTAGTGAAGAGTACATGGATGACTTTGATAATCTCGGGAATGGAGGTGAGACCCTGCTGCCTGTCCTCAATGAGGGGTTAGACCACTTTGGACTATGTAAAGATGACAACTCTCTAATTAGCGAGTGCAATGAGGAATCATCGGTGACCAGCCTGCACACCTTCTTATCCGAAACTGTTGACTGGGCAGGGATGGGCCTCGCAGGTGTGACTAAGAATCAATCTATTTCCATTACACCTCATAACAACTTTTTGTGTTTCTGTGTCTGACATTTTGACTGTTCAAACCCTAGTTAGCTGACTTGCTGTCTGCAGCCTACATTGGTTGTTACCTTCAGAGTGTGATACTGTACATGCTCCCAAAGATAAATACTTTAATGTTCATAAATGCAATAATTGAATGGTTCTCAAATATATTCTTAAGAACATTTTTTTTTTCTTAAGAATAAAATTACAGGCTTAATTTGGTTGACGGTTCTTGCTGAAGACTCACTGAATAACTCATGGAAAATACCTCAAAGACTTTTTGTGCTGCCTGCAGATTACTGTAATAATCATAATAAGTGCACAACTATTTCAGTTATGCCTGGCTTGACGGGAGTTTAGCACTTGCCGTCAGGGTTTACTAATGACAGGTTGACGTTACATTTTCTCGTAGACACAAGCCAGTATGATTTCAGCTTGAATAGCTGTAAAATTATACAATAATATAGTGTTGAAAGGTGAAGTGTTTAATTTTTTCATAGTTAAAATAGATTCTCTTATCTCAGTATGTACTTTACATATATACTGTGCATATTTTTATTGGCACTTCTCAGCATTGTATGTAATGCTGTATTGCATTTCCGCAAAGGATATATTTGATGCTACCTTAGATTTTTGCCAAAACACGGTAAATTAGAAGGCAGCATAATTATGTAATATTGTCACTAAGATTACTTAAAAAAACAGCTATATTACCCTTTCTAACTCAGTATATTGTCTTTCTTTCAGCTGGTAAAGATGGCTTTGAGCATGAGACGTTGTCTCCTTTAGGTGATTTTCCTCATGGATCGTCTTTGGACCTGTCACCCTCAGACAGCTCTGGAGGGACTTACATGTGGGACGAGGTGGGAATGGAGGCACTGGGAGGCTCTGGACACCCCTGTGGAAGCTTTGACTCTGATCTCAACAGCATGGTGAGTCCAAAGACTGACTGACAACAACATAAACATTTTTTTCATAAACAGTTTCATAATTAGTGGATTATTGTTTTAAAGTTTTAATATTAGTTTCTTATCTTGCTTGCACAACTCCTTAAGCAGCCCCCCTTAGTGGTCTTTAGCCCTGTGGTAAAGAATTACTCCTCTAGACAACGCTCTACAGTCTTGTTTGCAAGCTCCTGAAATGCACTGCCAAAGCTTTTCTGGATCGGTGTGCTTTGTGGTTGGCATTTAAAATCTCAGTTATTGTGATGTTGACAGCACTGATGATTTTTTTATGTGGTTAAAGTGAGTCTGTCTTGTGTTTATAGCCCAGAGACGGGCTGGATAAGACTGTCCGATTGAGTTATTGAATGTGCATCTGTGATTATGCATCATAATACTGAGAGTACTCCAAATTGGCTCCTGCTGATATTCATTCGTCTTTCCCCTGGAAGCAGATGATCAGATTGTCAGCTTCATGGCAGTCAGTAAACAGTGAGGTGAAATCAAAGTCAGACGAGAGAATGACTCTGCATTTATGCTTACAGCGTTAGCCTTTATCCTCCATTATAGCAATGATAGCTTGTTAATTGCCTCTCCCTATAATGCTATTTATCTTTCAGTATTTAAGCCATATTCCAAATCATTTAATTAGTGTAAATGTAACAACATTTGCATATTCCTATCACTACTTTTCATGATTTAGTTTTATTATAGTAATAAGTTTTGCTAACTAATATTTAATAATTTTTATATTTAGCTCTGATGACTGCCACTTACAGTAAGTGACTGGTCTGAAAGAGACATCTTGTGGATATTTGATGCCACAGTTTGATGATATGAAGGCCTACTTTTAGGCTTAATTTACACTGCACAAGCGTTTACTTGTCATTGTGTGTGACATTACATACAGGTTATGTACCAATTATGAAAAGAATTATTGTGATTTTGCCATTTAGACTAAAATGCTATTCAGCATTTTTTATTGCTTTTCTTCAGATTTAATCATAAACTAATGTATGAGTTGTTTTTGAGCATATAAGAGAATTCAAGCCAATTTTATTTGTATATTGAATTTTTATTGACCATTTAATTGTCTCAAGTAATTGCTTAAGACCTATGTTATGTTGTATTATATTTTTTCTTTGATATTTTTATTTTTTATATCAAGAATTGTGAAATTTCTAATAATAATAAATAGGGATATGCCGGTATCAAATTCTCATGTTGCAATTAATTGCTAATGCTTTTATCACGGTATACGGTATCATCACGATCATGTTGTGCATTTTGAACAGTTGATGGGAAAAGTATTCTTAAAATGCATTCAAAATTCGAAATAATTTGTAATATATAATTATTCACGGTATTTAGAAGTGCCCACGATAACAATATTGTGCATATTCATTACCGTGATATATCGCATTACCGAATACCGGCACAAGTCTAATAATAAATAATGTTGTATAATACTTTGGTATTGTAACTAGTATATTGTGATATACCGGACAAAATAATGTGAACACCTGGTAAATAGGCCATATTTCTTTATTAAGGTGTTTTACCACCATTTGCCCTTAATACAGATTCCAACCTTGTTAGAATATATTCATACAACATCTGAATAGTCTCCCTTTGAATGTTGAATCCCTTTGAATCAGAACATCTGTCAGTTGTTTCAGAGATGATAAAGGAGGGAATTGGCTTCTCACACTTCTCTCCCAAACTTCCCACAGTGGTTTGATAATATTCAAGTAAGGTCAGGGCGTATGTTGAAGTTCATCTTGGTACTCCATCTGTCCAGGTTTTATGATCTTGACACCATCTTTTTGCATTTTAAGAAGTTTTAGCAATTGCAGCTTTTCATGCTTGTGGGCTTTGTGGAGTTCTCTGTGGTCGGATTTTGCAGAAACATGGTCTTTAAGGTGAATATTGAGGTTTACTGTCAATTTTGCTGTAGTGGTTCCATTTTTTTGTTGCAGCTTTACATTATTTTTTCACAGATTTGTAATAACTTTAGTTAATAGAAATAACTGAAATATCACATTGACGTAAATATTCAGACCCTTTGTTCAACACTTAAAATTTAGCACAGGTGCATTCCATTTCTCTGGATCTTCTTTGACATTTTTGTAGACTTTCAATGGAGTCCACCTATGGTCAATTCAGCTAATTGGACATGATTTGGAAAGGTACACGCCTATATAAGGTCTAACAGCTGAAAATACATATCAGAGCAAAAACCAAGCCATCAAATCTAGGAAAGGCTAAGGAAACATTTCTGCTGCATTTAAGGTTCCCATTCTTAATGGAATGACAAACAATCAGGACTCCTCCTAGAGATGGTTGTTTGGCCAAAGTGAGCAATCGCTGCAAAAGGACCTTGGTAAGAGAGGTGACCAAGAACCTGAGATCATTTGTGGAGATGGGAAAAACTTACAGAAGGACTACCATCATTGCAACACTTTGCTGATCTGGGCTTTGAGGCAGAGTGACCACACATGAACATGACACACATGACCATTGACCACACGTGAAGACACATGAAAGTCCATTTGTCCAATTTGCAAAAAAAACCCTGAAATACTCTCAGACTGTGAGAATCAAAATTCTCTGGTCTGATGAACCTCAAATTCATTTCTGAAGGAAACCAGCAGGACACAATAGCTGAAGTAGTGCTGTATAGCTTCTATAGAACCTTCAAGGACCACAGGGGGGCAGCAGAAACTCACAAATATTCGCTCTAAAGAAAGCGTTATCCATTTCAATAAGCTTATCTTACAAAACATCCTACAGAAATAGTTCATTTACTCACCCTTGTGTTGTTCCAAACCCATATGGCTTTCTTTTTTTCTGTGAAACACAAGATGTTTTGCAGCTGATCTTTTGCATAGAATAAAACGGGGAATGGGGATTGCTGATGAATGTGTCATAAAGGAGCTCTTATGACTCATGCACTATTTTTAAGTCTTAAGAATTCATACGATAGCTTTGTTGGAGGAATTAGACCCACAGTCAGTTTCTTATTCACTTGTTCTCCTCTGCCACAGGAGTCAAATATTTGTTTGCATTGTGCCTGGTTTGATGTTGATGTTGTGTCATTGATGCTGAAACTTGGCGTAAAGCATGAAGGTGAATAAAAGGAGACAGAACTTTTTTCCACTGACACTACAGCCACTGTGCATCTGTGCAATTGTGTATTACAGATTAATGGGATGTCACCTCTTTCACTTCACCACTCTGCCAGGTGGTTTCATTAAATGTGTAGTAAAATACAGGCAAATTTATGACAGTACAATGTTGTGGCCATTGTGAAGGTGTAAATTAGGATGAAAAATCCCAAGGTGTTGTTTAAGTAGCTGACGGTATCCACCTCTCTTGTGTATGGCTGATAGTTTTAAATTAGTTGTTTCATATAAGATATTTAATTTAATAAGAATAGATTAAATTAATGAATATATATATATATATATATGACATGTAAACTGATGAGCACAGTTCCTTTTTTATTTTGTGGCCTTTATTTGAGATATTCTAACAATAATATTAACAAAGCAGTAGTCTCAAAATGGTTGGAAAATGTGTGTAGACTTAATCAGAATTTCCAATCCAAAAATAATACTGTTTTTACCATATTCAGTTAAATTCATACATTTTTTATACAAAACATTTATTTGTATAATACTTTTTACATATTGTTTCAAAGCAGCTTAACAGAAAATGACACTGTTTCTTCATTACAGTTAAAATTATCTGTTATCAGAGGTGATTGTGTCAAAGTAAAGTCCATATGGTAGAAATGTACAGATTGTACAAATCAATTAGTTATTTAACGTCACATTCAGAAACAATGAACACATTAAAGCAATGATTGCATGATGTGATCTTAATGATTACAACATAAGAGTAATATAGCAGTTTTGTTTCAGTTTCAGTCATTATTTAAACATTTTCCCTGAAAGTTTGAATAGTCTGCAGGAGCACGATTATGAACAAAAATAGGCTCTGAAAGTGGACTAGATGAGTTCGATAAATACATGAGTTGAGCGTGATGATGTTTAATGTCCCTGACAACCTTTGTTTTCCCATTTAGCCACTTGTTAACAACCGGCTTTTTCAAGACAAGTAAAAACGTGTAAAAACAAATCTAATGTATTTTATGTTGTAGACTATATTATGAATCTAAAAAACACATATTGACTTCAGGACGATGGCAGTGGAAGTGCTAAAATGCTAACTTGTTTCCAGGTTTTGGCGTTTAAAAATATACGCTCCATAAGCAAATCATGTGAGCTAACAAATTTGACCAAATATATCATTTCAATAAAATTGGCATATTAAAATTTATCTGACGAAACAATCCACTTTGGAGAAACCTTGGTCAAACAGAAATGAATGAGCAAATACAGTAAATATAGTACGCACACATTGTGACTTGTCAAATGTTAAACCAAGGCACAGAAATGACTCCGGATGTAACCAAGGGAAAGAAATCTGAGCGACGATGTTCTGCTCCCTCTCTCTGCCGGAACGTCTGTCACGCTCCGATATCAGCGCTCCTCGTCTGATTGGCTGAGTCAGAAAGGATGATTTCCTCCCCACTGCTTATGTATATTTCCTCAGACAGTTCAGCTGACCCAGTGTGCTGTGTGTCTGCACCTGCTCACTGACCTGGGCTATGCTAAGTCATGCAAGTTTGTTTCAAAGTGATGTGTCTGAGACACTGAGTAGCCAAACCAGCTAAAATTATAGGAAGCCATGTGATAGCTTTCTCATAAATGTTGACAAAAATTTATAGAGGATGTATTTTAAATTCAGTCTTTATATTCTGGGAAAAATGAACTAGACTTTGATCAAATTGATTTTCATATAGGACATGTCAAAACATTGCTGTTGTAATTAATAAACGTTAAACAACAAAATAGCAGTCAGCAAACCTGATCTCCTCAAACCTGAACAAGTACAATAACAGGTAAGATGTGGCAGTGCTCCAC